GAAACTCTGGTTGAATATTCTGATAAAGCAAAGGCAACAAACAAACTGATGAAACGAAGAGAATGATGGATTAAAAAATACGAATTCATGCTCATTATTGTTGCAAATTCCCTAGGTTTGATCAAATGAAAAGAGAGCAATATACTCGCAATCAATGATATCATCGTTGAGTGAGATAATATGTTGTAGTGTTGGCAGTTCCGTTAAAAAATATTTATAGGTCAGGACCATTTTAAGGCTTAGATTGTGATATGAATCGATAAAATCGAGCTGTAAAATATCGCCATAATCCCTTGCTTCTCTACTCAAGTTGTTGTTTTTGATAACTCCGGTGACGAAAACCACAGGTATTTCAGGTTCTAGAGTGCGCTTCCATGTATCACGTATGAATTGACGATAATCTTGAGACATTGGTGCACTTCGGACGACAATAAGTGCCGCAAGTGAGTTTGAAATATTTGGTCTAATCAATACGGTTGGTGGCTGATTGAAAAGGCAACTGCTGTTGGATGAATATCTCGGACCAAAATATTTTCTGGTGCACTCATTGATATTGTATTCCCTTTGATTTGGTAACTCTAAGTAGTCATTCTGAGTATAGCATAACAGTCGAAATGCCAGTAAACCTCGCTCCGCATAATTCGCAAACTGAAATTGGAAGTTTTTATACTCTATCCAATCTTCTTGCTGATTGCTTGTGTGGTAGAAGGAGTTCTCAGTTTAGAAAGATCCATAAATTTCAGAGCAACAATTTCGTCCTGATAATCGAATGTCTATCGTGTAAGGAAGCAATCATTTTTGTTGCATAATATAAAGAAAGTAAAGACCATTACGATAACAGTAATATGGTGAAGTGGAATTTTGAGCAAAAAGCAGTAATTAGAGAAGCAATAAGGAACACTTACGATTAAATAAGGAAATACCCAAAGAAATTGTAAAACAAGAAGTCGTTTAGGGGACAGCAAATGAGTACGATCATCTAGAAGCAGCGATTCTAGAATATTTGAAATACGAGAATGTACTGCCATTGTATGAAACAACCTCANTGGCTCATTTTGATCTTATCAACCATTAAAAACATTCTAATCTCCGAAATGTCCCACATCTGCCTTATCAATTTTTTTGCTTGAATAACCTATTTAGAATGTTATTCTGTCTAGAAAAAACTAACTTCAAATACCGAATGAAATGGTTTTTATAAAGAGGACGTTAATAAACAAAAAGAAAACGCAGTGTTCCGCGTCAGGTGAATATGATGAAATGGTGAATATCATTGAAAAACAAGACAAACAACTGAGTGATGAAAATGGATAATAAAAGAGTGCACGAAATAACAGAAATGAAGAACAGTAGATGGAATAATTTTTAGAAATTTTGTCATTCCAACTCAAAAAATCACAAGTTTTGTCATTCCAACGCAATTTTTTGGCATCCTATTGGGTGCATCAATCTAATGGATGACTCCTTGGTTGGGACTAGCGTTCGAAGGATAGCAGTTTTTCGGACGGGATGGGGGACCCCACGGGGAGGAAACTGGACGGGAGGGTCCACGCGAAAAAGGTCGAAGATATGATAATTTTTTAAATAATATGTTGCTATCATTCAAAAACCTCCCAATGTTACTTGTTCTAATTCATATTTATTGAAAACAACCAAGCGCGAATCAATATCAATAAAATGAAAATAAGAACAAATCAAACACATCATTATCGTCATTGCTATTATCATACTATCTATACCCTATCTTACTATCTCCGACATCGCATCACTTTTACAGTAACTCACGCCCCCAATAATACAATACCTCAGCATCAAATTTTTGCTAACATTGTTTCTTCTTGATCGCAGTCAATCAAGTTCGTTTGTTCGTCACCTCTCAACTCGACCAAACTCAGGTGTGTCCCGTCTCGTTCTAATCCAACGACATCAACTAATCCCCCAACATCAACAATACCCTACGTCAGCATTACTACAACGAAGTCAACCCCAAAAATTCTACTCACTTCAATAAGATAAAAACAAGGACGAATCATTATCAATAAAATAAAAACAAGCGTGAAACATTATCAGCGGTATTTCGCTATTTTGAGTTGATTGACCACGATGAATGCGATGGTTCGCGAAGCTGCGACGCGTTGCCTGTTCTCCACGTCGGGGAGAAAACTGGACGGAGGATCCCCGAGAAAAAGTCGGGAGCGGATCGCCCGGGGAAGGGGGTCCCTGTGGGGAGAAAACTGGACGGAAGGTGTCTCTGCCAAAAAATTAGTGCAGCAAATTGAGCGGGGGGAGCGCTCCCCGCGTTCCCCGACGAGGACCCCGTCCCCGACGAACACTAGTTGTGATCACTGAATATCACAACTGATCACGGCAAGTGGCATAACTTTCGTAACTTAACAGTTGGCATCAAAACTTGTTGCAATTTTGGAGACTAGTGAATCTTGGTTACAAGGCAGTATATATCTTGATTATGAAAGTTTCCTATCGGGTGGGCAATATTTTCAATTATTTCTTGAAACCTTGTACTTCAAGCCAAATAGAAACTCTTGTTTCATGTTTCATCCGTTGTTTCATTCTCCTGGATCTGCACTACAGAATGACATACAGATTGTCGCGATTTACTCCCATAAAGATTTATTTCG